AGATAGATAGATAGACAGATAGATAGATAGATAGATAGATAGACAGATAGATAGATAGATAGATAGATAGACAGATAGATAGATAGATAGATAGATAGACAGATAGATAGAGAGACCGATAGATAGACAGACAGACAGATAGAAAGATGCTGTAAGACTGTGATAACACACATCATGCTGCAGTCACATGGTAAACATTGTCACAGTAAATAGTCGTTACAGCAGCACACACTCCATTGACTGAAACACATTACCTTTCATGTATGTCTTCAGGGGACTAGTTAAAGAAAAACACAGATTAAGAAGACTGAGCATTGTGTCAGCTTTATCACCAGCCAGTGAATGATGCTGACTCAGCAGATGTAAACACGCTCACCCGTGCGTCAGTCTCAGCCTCCCTGGCCGTGGTCTCCAGCGTGGCCTTGGTGATGTCGATGCTCCCCTGGAAGCAGATGATCTGGTCATAGAGCCGCTCCAGCTTGGACTTTTTCTCCTCCTCTAGGCTGACAGACATATTGTTGTACTGCTCCATCACCAGGGTCATCATCTCCTCATTCTGAGTCTGAATGGCTGCCTCACTCTCCACAAACTGGTCCTGATGGAGACACGTTTATGGGTTCAAGGACAAACAGGTATTTATACTGACAGTTTTTAGCAGCATTCATGTCAGAGGAGTGTGTCTCACCTCTACAGTGTTGTAGGCCAGCTCCACTTCTGAGACCATATCCTCAATGTTCTCTGATCTCCCCTGGAGCTCTGAGATCCAGTCGCTCAGCTTTTCCTGTGTAAAAGGATAGACATATAAGTATTTGTATAAGTGCATGGAATACTGATCAGATTATCGTTAAAAATACTGTGATTGATGGATGTATGAGAGAGGGAAGTGGTTTCCAAACTTTCTCCATAGCGCCACCTTTCGGTAGTTTTGACCATTGACACACTTACAGTCTTGCTTCAAAATTTCACTGAATTTTATACAAAACAAAAAAAAACTCTATTCCTGTGGAATACAAACTGTAGAATGGGAATGAATGGCAGGAACAGTATTTATGCTATTATGGTTGTGTTTACTCCTATCTACAAAAGGTCTGCAGTGTTTGTGTCCACAAATTAGAATATCGCACGTTAGAGTATCTCACGACACTCAGGTTTCTGCTCTCTGCTCACAGGTTCACATTAGAGTTTATCCTCTGTCTGTATGACAGGCTGGCTAGTGGAAAGGAGTACACTAGTTTCTCACTGCAGTACAACAACCGTTGCAGTATTATCCTCTAGTTGTCCTAAATTTGTACCTATCATGGTATATTTTTACATCCACAGCATCTATTCGTGTGGAGGACTTTATGACAATCTGGCATTTACTCCCATCAAGGCAAACCATTGGCTCACAGAAGTCCAGTGTTGGCTGCAGCCACTAGGGACAGTGTCAGTGTGGGTAGTGAAAATGAAGGCTGGGCTATTTTTGGACTGGTCTGTTAGGGACGGACCCAATGAAAGTGTGTGACCTAAGTAGTTACTTGATTACACTGTGCCTTAAATAATCAAACATTCAAGTGGGTCTGAGCAGAGACTGGTCAAAACCATCTAAGAAATGTGAAGTGTCTGTCATATTTTCAATAAGTTACTTTTGATCAGTGTTTGATATAAGACAGAAGTATTTCTTTCATAAATGTTAATCCAAAGTAAGAACATTGCTACATATTTGGAGGAAGATTAACACATGTTTATTTATTTTTGGGAAATTTTTAGAGATAGACTTTTTCAGAAAATTATTATTAATGTTGATTTTGAGCAGTTATTGGCGTACGTACAAAAAGTGCATATCTACATATGTTTAGGCAGATTAGTGTATTATTAGTCATTTTAATGTTTTTTTTTATTTTGTAAGATTTTTTTTCAGATAATTATAATGTATACCATGTCACTTTTTTGTGATAGAGCACACCACCAAATGTGATCTCAGCTTTTAGCCCATCACCAAGTGGGCAGTGAGTGGAGACGGTGCCATGCTCAGAGCACCTCGGCAGCTAGTGGACTCGAACTTGAAGCCTTTCAGACCAAAGCCCACTTCCTTAACCACTAAGCCACCACTGCCTCGTAAATATCTTTTCTAAATTTTGTCCACAAGTAAACACATTGCACAAATGTGTGCATTTATATTTATTTTAGGAAAGTTTTAATTTATTTTTTCTTTTTCAGAAAGTTATTTGTAGGTAAATAATTTCTTTCTTGGGTTTTAATCATATATAAGCACACTGCTTACTTTTCAGAAAGTCAATAAGTTTTTATTAGATGAAAACTTTGTGAAAAATCTACCTTTGTTATAAATATAAAAATGTTTTGTCAGTCTTTGTTCTAATAATTGCTGTAGTTTGTCATCAGTTTGGAAAGTAAAAAAATGTTTTGAAATTGAGATCTGCATTGAAAATATCACAGAAACAAAGGTTTTGCAGTATGTGCTTGTACCTTGAACTCCTCATAGGCTTTGTCCACTGTAGTGACCTGGTGACTGTGGTGCTGTGGTGAACCATAATCATCCTCTGACAGTAGACATCCACAGGAGACACAGTACCAATCCATTCCCTGCAGTTCAGCAGCCAATCGTGCCTGAGTCTCCTCCTCCGCGTCGATGATGTCATAGTCAGCCTCGATGGGCTCGTCTTCTGGAGGAAACTCATTCTTCTCCTTGTCCAAATCCATCATTGCTCCTCTGTCTTCTGTATCTCTCTGTGGTTCAGGTTCTGGCATCTCCTCAGCATCCTGCTCAGATATTACCTCGTATTCATAAGTTATAAGTTCCTCACCAGGTGTCTCAACAGCCACCTTGTCTTGCTGCCACTTTTGTCCAACATCGACCTTGTGAAGGTCAGTATTCAGACCTTCATCCTGTTTAGTAATACCTGCTAATATAGAGTCTTCAACTTTGTCCTTCTCCACCTGTATTTCTACATCTGCAATTTCTGACAGTACATTCTCTCTCTTCAGACTAATACCTGGACCTGCTTGAATAATTTCTTGTCCTGTTTCACCTTCTGACTTGTGTATCGGCACGGTTTTTTCTGCCTCTGTATCTTCTGACAACACGTCTCCTCTGTTCAGATTATTACCTGTTAAAATTGTTGGTTCTGTTGCAGCTTCTTCCTTGTTTGTCATTTTTTGTCCTATGTCTGCATCTTTTGATAATACTTCCTCCCTGTTAAGGTTGATAGCTGGAACTTCATCTGGTTCAGTAATCATTGCTCCTGTAGCATCTTCTACCTCGTTGATCTCCACTGGTGGTTCTACGACTGTATCTTCTGACATGTCACACAAGAGTCCAGATAAATCTGCCTGTGGAGTAAAGCTCCTCAGAGGAGAGAGTACATCCACATCTCCTCCTAAGTCCTCCATCATGTCCTCCTCCTCCTCTATGTTACTTTCCTGTAGCAGAGCAGGTGACGCAGGTTGGACAAAATCCTTTTTCAAGTTGTTCTGGACTGGTTCCTCCACCTCTGCAGCAGACTGGGGTTGTAGAGTTTCTGTCTTTATTTCCTCCATGTGTACTGTTGTATCTACAGGCAGAGGTTCAGAAGCAACCTCCACATTATTTGTGGTCTGTTCCAAGTCCTGACTGACCTCAATGTCCATCTCCACAGCCTGTCCTCTGGGAACAAAGAGGATAAACTCAGCTCCTTCGTCCACTGTGTCAGGAACTGCAGTAGCACTGTCCACTGTTGGTGCTGTAGTTTTGACCTCAGTTGTTATTT